CAGTTTTTGATGTATTGACAAAAGATTCCAAAAGAAATTCCTTGAATAATTATTTAGAAAAGGGCCAAATTTATTAGAGTTGGTACAAAAATTAATAATTAATCTTTGGAAAAATACAACTGGAGTAACATCAGACATCAAAAAGCATTTTTATAAATCAGTTTGAATCCAGAGGATAGGGAATATTTTTAGTCCAAAGGGATTTGAATCCCGAAGGACTATTAGTTTCGTTTTGGCATTTTGCGTCGGACTCATAAATGTCGGTTCACTTTTCAAACTGTTGCCACAAAATGTTAGAGTCCTGCATTATATTTGAAGAAATTAAATAATGAAAAATCTGCATAAATGTATGTATATTTCTCGTATTGTGATAAAACAACGGTACATAGAGTCATCGAATTTTGAATAACGTAATCCTCCAACGAATATGAGCATGTGGAAGACCAAATTTGAAATTTGAAATTTGTTTTATGATCGATTTCCTATTTTTTTAAAACTTTGATGAATTTTTGATAACAAACTCAAGGATTTCAAAGCGAGCAATGGCAACGTTGTGCAGAAAAAAACATTTTTATCTCCAGCGCGTGAGTCTCTGTATCGGAAATTCTAAAGATATGCTCGTTTTAAAACTATTTTGTGATATTGCTGTTGCACTGGATCTTATGGTTTAAATGCGAGGAACATGATATTTAATAAAGAAAGGTAACACACAAAATGTTAAGAAACGCCCCTTTGGACGTAATTTAAAATCTGAAACATTTCAGATTTTTTTTTTTTTTTGTTAAAATGGGGGACCCACCGGCAGCCGAGGGTTGAAATTGCTCATCACTACATGTTTGATCTAGTTAATTTCTGTGGTGGAAGGAGTTATTATTAAGGCGAAAAGAAATAATCACTCTCTGACACTGTAGAGTGGTATTGGTGCTTCTAGTCCATTTTTACTAGAAGCAACTATAGCTTACCATCTAGAGAACACTCCAGATGAAAGGAAGCAAATAGCTTGGTGACTCAAAGCATCTTTTTATGTGGATAACTGTATTACGAATTTAGAAACTAAAGATGAGGCAGAAAAATTTATTTCTGAAGCTAAAGAGCTGATGTCTTCAGCATAATTTAAACTATGAGGCTGGGTTACTTCTGAAAAAATTGTAGAAGAGACAGATGACAGATTCATTTCAATTCTAGGTCTCTCTTGGGACACTGAAACCAATGAACTTTTCTGCAGCAGTATGATTGAAATTCCAGAAAAGGGGATTACTAAAAGAGTTGTGTTATCGGCTGCCGAAAGATTATTTGACCCTATTGGGATAACATGTCCCATTTCATTGACACCTAAAGTATTGCTTCAAAACATTTGGAAAAAGAAAATTAATTGGGATGATGTACAGTCAATAAATATATCAAATGGATTTTTAGCCTGGTTCAAAGAACTATCTTTGCTGAAAGAGTGCAAGATTCCACGAAGACTTGTTTCAGGTCTATTTGAAGGCTGCCGAATAAGTCTACAGTGTTTCTATGATGCCAGTGAAGTTTCCTATGCTGCTTGCATTTTCTTATGTTTTGAATTCAATGAGCAAATTTCAGTCAAGTTACTAACGAGTAAGTAAAGAGTGGCACCTACCAAAGAGATTACAATTCCTACATTAGAACTTTTGGGAGCTTTGATCTTATCAAGATTATATGGTCAAGCAGTAGACAGACTTCACTTGAAAGACAATACAGTGTATTTTTGGACTGATCCAACTGCTGTTTTAGCTTGGATCAAAAGAGAGAGTTCTTGGAATACGTTTGGAGGAAAAAGAGTTACAGAAATAACAAAGAATACCAACTTGAATGACTAGCATTTTGTGCCAGGTCATACGACCCCTCGATTTGCCTTCAAGAAGTTATGATGCTAAGAAGTTATTGAAAAGCAAATGGTGCAAAGGTCCAGAATGGTTATGGAAGTCACAAGAATTATGGCCATTAAGTGAAAAACCACTCATTGATGAAAATTTGGTTGAAGGAAAAGAGAGAAAAACGATAATCAGTAATGTGGAGCATAGATCAGTTAACTTCATTGACAATTTACTTTATCTCTTGAAATATATGAAAATTCTTAGAATACTTGCCTGCATACTTCATTTCATTAAAAACTGCTAACGAAAAGAAAAAACTTAAAAAACTTAGCTGACTTATGAAGAATTTCAATCAGCTAAAAACTGTTTGCTAAAACTAATTTAGCAGGAAAGTTTTGCTGGAAGAAAAATGAAAATCTTGAAAAACGTGCAGTCAGAGATAAAAATGACATTGTTCAACTTAGAACAAAGCTTCTTTTGGGAGATGGAGAGGAAAATATCAAGTGCCCCATATCGTTGCCCAGAAGCCATGAGATTATTCATTGACTGGTAAGGCAAAAGCATTGTGAACTACAATATGCAGGACTTCGAACTCTGACTGCCAATTTAAGAGAAGATTACTGGATTATTTCGGTCAATAAATTAGCGAAACAAGTTAGTTCTAGTTGTATTTCATGCAAAAGATTCAAAGCCAAACCCACAGAACCATTTTTTGCACCTCTTCCTAAGAACAGAATAAAAGCTGCTGCAGCTTTTAAAGTTCCAAGGATTGATCTCGCAGGCCCTTTGCATTTACGTTCTGAGGAAAAGACATGGGTTGCACTTTCTAAATGTGCCATTCCTGACTGTCCATTTTGAATCAGTCAATTCCCTGTCTACAGAAGTTTTTATTATGGCTTTGCTCTAAGAAGATTCTTTGCTCGAAGAAGTAGAGTAAATATAATCTACACTGACAACAGTAGAAACTTCATTGGTTCAAACAAAGCTCTAAGAAATTCAGATTGAGTAAAGATCATGTCGTTCTCACTATCAAGAAAATCAAACGGAATTTTAACCCTCCAATAGCCACCTTGATGGGGAGGATGATGGGAGCGCATGATTAGAATGTTGAAAAAGATGCTAAGAAGAATTTTGGGCAGAAAAACTCTTGACTATGAACAGTTGAAAACTATTCTATGTGACTGCGAAACTACCATAACTCTAGGCCACTTACATATATTGAAGACAATTTGGAAAGTCTAAAGCTTGCTTTTATCGTACAAAGTATTCCTAGCAGTGAAACAACTGGTTTAGATAAAATCAACAGTAAAAGCCTAAATAAAAGATTGCGTTTTGTACACAAATTAAGGCAGGAATTAAGAATGAGATTTCGGAATGAGTATTTAGCAATGTTGATTCCTAAAGGTAAGAGCCAGGAAGAATCTTTAATGATTTAACGGAGTTGGGGAGTCGTTCTTCTAGAAACTGATGGCAAGCATATCAGCCGGAATCGTCACTGAAGTCTTTTCCGGAGCAGATGGGCATTCAAGAGTCGCCAGAGTGAGAACAGCTAATGGATAGAAGTTGCGACCATTCCAGAGACTTAATTTATCTGTTAGAAATCAACAGTTGGAAAAGTTAACATTTGTTGCTCAAGATGCTTAAAGGGATGAAAGTGCCACTATGAAGCTGCCTCTACACCTTGCAGCTAATGATTCAGATTCCAGTGACGATGATGATTCCTCACCCAGAGCCCCAGATTTTGTCACTTGAACTGGTCGATGTGTTAAAATTCCCAACAGACTTGATTTATAACTTTTGTAGCAAATTATAGGTATCCTACAAATTGCAAGGTGGGAGGTTGTTTGAGTAATACCACTTATGGCTTAATTCTGTTTTAAGTTTTATGCTTTGAAAATAAGTTCTATCGTTTTGTAAATATACTGCTTCTAAATTTTGTAAATATCTGCAACTAAAGTGTTTTTTCATATTAAATCCATAGTTATTTCCGAAGCTTTAAAAGATGGTTTTTAGAACTATTTTTATGCACAGGTTTTGTTCATGATTCTAGCTTTGTCTCAATTCACTGTAAATCTATTATGTAAAGTGAAAGTGATGTCTCTCTAAGACAACAAAATACTGTTAGTATCACATAAATATTCAATACATATAAATACAAGTTAGCAATTATACCATTAGCATTGATTTAGAAATTAATTAGGAAAGACAAAATTATTTTTAAGAAAAGAGTTGCAGCTTAAAAATTCAGTCACCATCTGTGATGTGCCAATGGAAAATATACACACTACAAATTTGGCATCTCCCAAAATTAACACGAATATACAATACAAAAAAAGTACATAAGGAGTCTCAAACAATAATTATATCATTATTATTTAATATTTTAAAAATCATCCATATTCCTTAAGAGATTAGTACAAATTTAGAATAAAAACAGATCATGCATAAAAGTAGCCTTAAAATCAGAGAAACCATTAAAATTATTACTATGTCACATTGCAGTAAAGAACTTCTTTTAAATCTCTCATGTAACTGGATGGCTATTCTTAAATACAAAACTGAAACCTTACCAGAATCCTCCTCGCAAAGAATTCATCCAGTAAGGAAAGGAGCAGAATGAGAAGTGACACATCAATTGAGTTCTAACTCATAAAGCTGACAAGTCATCCATGAGAGCTTCAGTTTTAGTATATCTCAGAAAAGATATAAAATATTCTGAAATATATGTATTGCTTTTAAATCACTCAATAAGTTTAGAAATGTATTTTAATTTTGAAAAATGAATTCAATAACTTGTGGAATGTCCAATGGCAACACCTCTGGCATTTGTTAGGCCACACAGATGACAGATGGTCCTGACAGTATAATCTGATTTAATGAAATGGAAAAAGTGGAAAGCCTAAGCTACAGATATTTCTAAGATTAAAAGATGTCCTGACAGTATAATCTGATTAAAAAAAAGGGGGAGACACTTAAAATTTTAAAAAAAATTATTATTCAGATCACTAAAAAGCAAGTGGTAAAAAATAAAAAGATAACTTGAGCAGGGCATAAATATTGTATATTTGAATAAATAGTTTAATATTTGCATATTCCACCTAGAAATAATTATAACACACAAATGCCATTTGCAATCTCTACATGTTGATATCTATTACTCACTTGTTCTATATACTTTTTCCACAGAGGCTCCTCAGGTGTCACCTCAAATTCATTAGGTCCATAAAGCGCCAATCGACGATTCGCTTCCTGCCAAGATAAACCATAGTGGATATCTGTATTAAGTACTGTTGCAACTTCTGCTGCTGTCCAACGACATGCTTCCTCAGTGCGCAAACAACGCATTCCTTCTTCGTCATTCGGTTTTTCCTAAAGTGAATAAATACACTAATTAACAAACATAAAAAATTCAATTTAGATTTGTTTTGAATTTTGGTTATAAATTTCAAAACAACACATATGTAAGTATATAAGTTTATATTTTTAAATTAATTCTACAATAAGCATTAGGAGACATTGGCTTCTTACCTTTTAACATACATATTACAAACTCTAGTAACACGCAACATAACCTAACTGTATTTAAGATAGTTAAAAAAAAAAAAGAAGAAACTATTAAAATAATTATCTTTGTCATTATTTTTAATAAATTATCTAGATAGAGAAATCCAGCATGACAACGATTTCTGAAATTATTTTGAGAATATAAATTGACATTATTGATCAGCCTCAACTTTAGCATTTTAAGCACCCTAGACAGTGCCATTTTAACAGCATTATGACCCCTGGGGCAAAGCAATGTGCTGGGGCTTATATGACAATCATTCACAGAAATGAAATATAAATAGCTTAGCATGGGAACTCTATGCTCGTGCTGCCCACAAGCAATTCCCTAGAGGGCCTATATGTTACGCTGGCTCTGATTATAGGCTATCAGTAGACTTAGTGCTCCATATAAGCTAAACATATTAACATAAGAATTACAGAAGCAGTCATTTTGACCATAAGTGAAATTAAACTGTGCATGTCTTCAAAATTTTCTTTTTAAATAATTTGATATTTTTTGAACTTTTTATAAAAGCACACCAAAAATACTTTTTCTAAAAGCATATTAAAATGACAAAATTGGTCGTTTTGACTATTCTTCTTCCCTTTTAGAAGGCTAATGTGGCGCCTTGTCTACTACAACGCGGCCAGTCTGGTAACCCCTAGCAACCAAAAACAATGTTTATTCTATTCTATTGTTATTATTATTAATGAACTGTCTCAAAAATTGTACTACCATAATTGGTGACCCATATTTATTACGAATAGCAACATTTAATGTTGCACGAATATGGAGTTTATATGCCAAAATTCTGAGCAACAATAAGTTATGCAGTGTGATGACATGCAAGTAAGAGATTTCACCTGTGATTTCAAGCGTTTTGCCGCATTATGGTGAGTCAACATATTTCTGTCATAATTTTAGTGCATATATGTATCGTCTGCTGAATTTGAGCTGCTAATTTCTCTGATTTCAAGTACCAAGAAACTGTGTCACTATATACATATTGATTATTTTTCTATACATATTATTATTGTGCATATTCTATACATATTATTAATATGCATATTCTATAAATATTATTATTGTGCATATTTGATTGATCTAAAATGGCTGACAACGATGCTGCTTCACAACTGGGGCGAGTGGCAGTTAAGCCACCGCCTTTTTGTCGCCGAGACCCATTGTTGTGGTTCATTCAATTGGATGCGCAGTTTAAACTAAGTCACATTACTGCCAATGAAACTCAATTTTATACAGCAATCGCCACGTTAGAATCAGAGGTACTGCAATCAGCTCGTGAAATAATTTTGAATCCACCGTCAACGGACAAATACAAATCTTTAAAAAAAATTAATTTCTGTTTATGAAGAATCCAAGATAGTTAAAATCAAGCAACTGTTGCACAATTTACAGTTGGGTGATTTGAGGACTTCTCAATTGCTGTCTAAAATGCCAGACTTAGCCGCCGGTAACCTAACGGATAACATTCTTAAAACATTATGGATGAATAGACTCCCATCTAACATGCAAGCCATTTTAGCGGCCATAGCAAGCCACTTAAAAATCTTCCCGAAATCGCTGATAAAATTCACAAGCTGTCCATTCCTGCGCAAATACACGCAGTGCAGGCTCCTGCACAAATACACGCAGTCCAGGTATTGTGGCGTTACAGGCTCAAATTGATGATTTGTCCAAACAGGTTGCTCAGTTAGTAGCCATCCAAGTTAGTAGCCTTTTCAACACAACCACTCCACATCACGTGGTCGAAATACACGTCGTAACCCACTGAGGAAACGTTATGAAAGCCATCCTATTTGTTTCCACCACAACAAATTTGGAAACAAGGCAAACAAATGCTGCGCACCGTGTCGTTATAAAGACCAGAGAAATGAGAAGGGTCGTCGCTCGAAGTTGTGAACAACAGCAGCCGGTATTTTGCAAGCCTTTTCGTCATCGAATTCGAATAATATAAGAATAATATTCTTATATTATTCGAATAAGAATAAGAATTCGGGTTTAAAGTTTCTTGTAGACATTGAGGCTGATGTTCCTGTCGTTCCACCACATTTTCACGAAAAAAAAGCGCCTTACCAAGTTACAACTTTATGCAGCAAATGGAACTCTTATTCAAACTTTTGGTGAACACCTGATATCTGTTGATTTAGGATTGCGCCCCGACTTCCAATGACAATTCATTATTGCTACTGTCCTATCATTGACGCTGACTTTTTACATAAATTTTCTTTGCTTGTCGATCTTAAAAATCGCCATTTGGTAGATTCCACAACCAACTTAACTTATCCTGGAGTAATTCGCAATAGTCAAGACTTGACTGATTTCGGGTAACTCCCCATGGCATCAACTTCTCAGAGAATTCCCTACAATCACGCGCCCAGTTATGGGAATTTCTGAACCCAACTATGATGTACTACATTATATTGAAACTACCAGACCTGCAGTTGTTTCTAAACCAAGATGCTTACTTCCGGACAAGCTTAAAGGCACCAAAGAGGAATTTCAATACATGATGGAACAGGGAATTTCCCTCCTTCATAAAGTTCATGGGCCAGTGCGCTCCATCTAGTTCAGAAACGAAATGGTAACTGGTGCCCGTGTGGTGACTATCGTCGGTTAAATGCAGCTACAATTCCTGGTCGTTACCCAGTCCCACACATTGCGATCACGAATTATTAGGAATTTATGAAGCTGTCAAATATTTTCAACACATGGTAGAGGGACGCGTTTTCATGATCTTCACAGATAACAACCCTTAACCTATGCTTTTCAACAGCGTTCGGATAAAGTTTCTGCTCATCAAATGAGACACCTAGACTTCATAGGGCAATTTTCAACAGATATCCATAATATTGAGGGTTCACATAATATTGTTGCAGACACCTTGTCTCACATTGAAGAACTAGCCGGTTCCTTCGCCAATAAACTTTGCTGCCCTTGCGGATGAACAACACCGGGATTCAGGACTACAGATCCTCTTGAGAAGCAAATCTTCCACCAGTCTCAACTTGCAGCCTATGCAGCTGTCACCTGAACTTGGTGTAGCAGTATCTTGATGCCATTTGTTCGAGCTTTCTTTTTATTTTCATGCCAGCTGTTATTCCACTGTTTGGTTAGAATATACGTGAGACTCCCTCTAAGTAATAATGTTCTAAATGAGTTTCATATTTCTGATGATAACTCTGATTCAAAAATTATTCTCATGAAAAATCTAATAGAGAAATTTATTATGTTCCATCTGATTATAATTTCATTATTTCAACTATAACAAGTGAATCAGATTCATCAAATGACAGTTATATTATTCCTTCAAAAGAAAACTGCCATATTATTTCACATCTGGCTCTAATGAAGATATTTTTTCATCATTTCCATACTATATCAATTTTTGAATAAGAAAATTAAGAAACAGCAAATTATGGCACAATGTTGAAAAAGAAATTATTTCAGCAAATTAACTTTAAAATGTTTTGCCAGAAGCAGATAGGCTAACTATTTTTACTAGGGGGGGAAAATAACTGATCGAAAAGAAGTAGTAAATGTTGACAAATGTAGTATCAAATGGAAATTTTTTATTAATGAAAAAATATTGTCATACACTGTAATGCACAGAAACTGAGGCATATCAAAAGTCAGGAAATCTAAATTAGAGTCTCTCACTTGATAAGCTAGACACTTTTATTGCTTCATTATATGCTCATTATGCTTGGGTTGCCAAAGAACTTTCTATTTTAGGGTTATGGTCGAAATTCTTGAGCCCAAAATTCTTTAGTGAAAAATGCTTAGAGACAGATTCTTGGAAAAATAGTGAAATATTTGCAAAAATCAATTAAATCACAAAGATTACAAGATTCAGATTATTTTATTGTCTTATAAACAAGAAGATGAAAATATTAAAACAAATGAACAGTTGTTTTCTCCAAGATGAGATGCCCCTTTGTTTAATATATGCTGCAAACACTTGATAAATTCGGAATAAAATTCGTCTTTTAACCGATGGGAAAACAACATATTTTATTATCACATATCTTTATTTTTGAAATGGAGAGCAAGCTATCTACTGTTCATTGTGCCCTTTTATAACAACGGAAGAAATTTTATCATTGACAATTTCTTTACTTCTTTGAATTTAGTCATAAACTTAAGCAACAAAGGAATTAATTACGATGGCACAATTTGTCTTGCAGAACCATCCCTCTATCATTCAAAAATACAAAAGATGAATTATATTCTAGAAAATTGTCTAGCATGATGATGTATCTCTCTTGCCATATCAGGGAAAATAAGAACAAAATATTCTACTAATTCTACTAATGAGTTCCTTTTATCCAAATCTGGAATTTTCATCAAATGAGGGAGAACCTAGAGGTTATGAGATTTTATACTGCAACAAAATATGAAATGGATGTTTTGAATCAAATGGCTCGAGTATATTCTATCAAGTCTTCAAGCTGATGTTGGCCAGCACAGGTGTTTTTTAGTACTCTTGATTTATCTATGATAAATGTGTCAATCATCTACAAGGAGACTACTGGCAATGCAAATATTAGTCATGATTTTATTTTGGCTATTTCCAAACAGCTAAGATAAAATTACATTTCCTCAAAGAACCTTCTTGCTCCCATGAGAAAGCCTAAAAATGTTCCTTCTGCAAACAAGCATACATAAGTGAGGTCAGATTAATCAGTGCAAGAAAAATGAAACTGTAAATGCTTGTGCAAGGTGTAGTAAATATGCATGTGGGCCTTGCCCAGGGAGAATTACTAAATTAATCACTTGTGTAAATTGCAAAAATGAATAATGT